GGGTGATGGCGAAGTGAGGGGGCTTGCCAGGTGACAGGTGCTTGTGACATCCCGCCCCTCCCTTCCAGCCAACCCCCTTCTTTCTCGGCTACGTCCTGGGGCAGGTGGGACAGTGGAGGCCAGGTCAAGGGAAGACTGGGTTTGGGGGTATTATTCCAGAGCTTGAGATTTCTTTCAGAGAATTCCAAAGAAGTGGGAGGAAAGAGCCGTTGGGCTCTCTGGGGTAGGAAGATAATGAAAGGTCTCCAGGTTTGCGTAAGCAAATATTGGGCCCGGAAGCCAGAGGCAGGAGGATTCTCAGTAGGCACTTTATATCCCAGGAGCTTAGCTACAGAGCAGACCTCTCTCCTGGGGAAGCATGGACAAGCCTGGGGAACCTGGGGCTCTTTCCGGCCGGGATCTGGCTCAGTCTTACCAAAGAGCCTCCGTTGGGTCCTGTTTTTGTATGAGACACCTGCCAGGTCCAGGTTAGTACATTTGTCACTGAAAATCTTTGTAGGAGTCATTTCCAGGGGGTGCACCCCTCTTTATTCTAAGGCACAAATTCCTTTATGGCATTTCCACATGAGTATGATTATGTAACTTCTCAGATAAAGCTGTATCAACATACCTCTATTAGGTGACATCTTGGTTTAAACATTCCATTGTGTGAATCATCGGGGTGTTGACACTAATAAGCCGAGAGCATGTGTGACCTGCTGCAATCCCAGAGGGGCCCTCACTGTTGCTGGCTGTGTGGCCGGGAACATCACTGCGGCTTTTGTGTCTTAGCTTTCCCTTTGCGGACCAGAGCTAATTGTGGTAATCTCAGCCCAGTCGGAAGAATTAACCTGCACACGTCGGTAAGCCACAGTCATCTGTGTGTTCTCTGAGTTAGACACTGAAGTGCTGCAGTTGTGGCTTACATTTTTGCACTTGTTTACCAATCTTAGCTCAACATCGTATGTTATTGATTACTTTAAAATATTAGGCAGTAATAGAAAACTATTGACATTTCGAAAGCGTATTCAGCATATCTCAATTTCTGAGAGTCTGGTATCATTGAAGCTGTCCTTAGCTAAGAGTGATCTAATACATCATGATGGGTAAAGGGTGCCCAGGTTCAAATCCTGGCTCTGCCAGTGACTGGCTGGGTGATTTTGGACAAGTTACTCAACTTCCCCATGCCTCTGTTTCTTCATCTGTGAATCAGAGATGACAGTAATAGTGATGAAGATAGTGCCTATCTCGTTTATTGGGGAGATTAAATAAAGTGTTTCCTGTATCTTCCGTAGAGTAGTTAGTACCTGACACATAGTAAGCACTTGCTCCAAAGATACTGAGTGCCTGCCATGTGCCAGGCACTGGGGATCCAGCAGGGACTTTTTTCTAGTGGGAAAGGCAGTCAATAAATAAATATATAATACATCAGCTGGTAAACATTTTAGAAAAAATAGTAAAGCAAGTAAGGTGGGAGAGAGAGAGAGATAGGAGGTGAGACATAGGGTGTCAGGGAGGCCACCTATGGAAGAGTTTAAGAAGATTCCTACTGGTAAGAAGGGAATCATTTAGATGTCTGGATGAAGTTGCTGGCATAGGGAACTACGAGGGCAAAGTCCCCAGGTGATGTATATGGGTGCAGCTGGAGAGCAACGACTAAAGAGATAAGTAAGTAGAAATGGACGAGGCCAGTGGTTCTCAACCTTCCTAATGCCGCGACCCTTTAATTCAGTTCCTCATGTTTAGGTGACCCCTAACCATAAAATTATTTTCGTTGCTACTTCATAACTGTAATTTGCTACTGTGATGAGGGTCGTTCGACCCCCAAGGGGGTCGTGACCCACAGGTTGAGAACCGCTGGACTAGGCCACGTAGACCAGGTGAAGATGGCTTTTACTCAGGAGAGCTGGGAAGACATTGGAGAGGTTTCTCAGCAAAGGAGAGACACAGTTTGCCATTTGTTGTAGATGCATCCCTCTTGACTGTTGTGTGGAGTGACTAGTCTTTGTGGGAAGAGTGGTATGTGGGAGGCAGGGCAGACGCAGGCCTTAGAAGGCTCCTGCATCAGCCCAAGCGATTTACAATGCCGGCTTTGACACGGAGGAAGTGGTGAAGATGTGAGAAGCCGTGGGCCCTTGCTAAATCCTAGCTGTTGTCATTAAGTAGCATTGAGAGTTCATATCAACTCCTAAGCCTCAGTTTCCTCACCACAAAATTAAGGGGTTGGGCTCATTCATTATTCCTTCTTGGCTCTTACAAAATTCTGGTTTCTGAAATGCTGTGTAAGTAGCATCTACATTTACTAGTAAATGGGTGGAGAGTGGGTGCTGCTGAGTAAAAATAATCTTGGGTTCAATCTTTTGATAAATGGTTTTGTGGGGGTGAAGAATAATCCCTTTATTTCTTTGGTAAAGTAGAGTTGCCGCTATCTGCATTGCTTCCGATGAGTCCTTACATTTGGGGAATGTAAAGAATAGGAAAGTGCTGAACCTGCCCCATATGGAAAAGTTTGAACATGGAAAATTGCCTTTTATTCCAAAAATGCTCCATTCCTTCTCAGTCTATAGAATGGTTCATCTTGAATATGGAGAGCAGACAGGAAGCCTACATGAATATTTTGTTATAATTAAAGCTGAACAGAATCAAACTACCCCTTACAGGGGAAAGTCATTAGCAGATTAATGAGTTATAGAACTTAACCTTTTTTTTTTTAGTTGTATAGTGAAGGCTAGACAAACTTTGTGCTTCGATTATAGGCATTTGTCTCTAAAAAGCATTCTCCGAGATTGTGACTTTTTTATGAAATGGGCTGATTACTACTGGAAACTGCTAAAAAGGCTAAAGAAGGGGGAAGGCAGTCAAATAGATAAGATTAGCACTAAAAGAAAGCATGAACAGGTTTTTCAAGATAGACTGCCAAATGACCTTCCCAGATGAAAAGAGGAGATCACTTCCTTTTTCCTTCCGATTTAATATGTTTTATTCACATGTATACATACAGAATTTCTTACATTCGGAGGAGAATACAGCACTGACATCAATTCAGCAGCCATTCTATGTATTGCTATGTGCTATGATACCATGGACCGAAAAGATATTTGGGGATATACAACGCTGTCCTGGGGGAGCTTACAGCTCACTCTGGGGACCAGGGCAGAATGTAGTGGTGGGTCAGATAATAACGGCTTCAGACCTGTAGCGTGAGCACTGGAGTGAGGGGTGGGGGTTGGAGGAGGTAGGGCATTTGGAGGATTGAGGCCGAAGGCAGCTTTCTGGAGGAGACAGGTATCTGTGACCACATGTGTACCAGCATCTTCCACAGTCCCAGAGAAGCAAGTCTTCGAAGACCTCATTGTAGCTCATTGTCTGAATTCTGAACCTGTCCTTTCATGTCCTGGCAACCGGCTGAACCCTGCTCCCAGAGACTGCTTTTTGTCTCCTGTCCTGGTCCAGGCAGAGTTGTGCCTCCTTCCCTTGTCCTGTCACTGTGTTCTTAGGCTTCCACCGGGCCCCGATCTCGTAGGCCTGACTTTGACCTTCAGACCACCTGTTTTCTATCTCTGTGTATATACTGTATACACATGGGCTAGAGCTGGGATCCTCAACCCCAGCACTATTGATACTGCAGGCTGGGGAATTCTGTGTTGTGGGCGGCTGCCCTGTACATTATAGGATGTTGAGCAGTAGATGCCAGTAGTACCCCACTTCCCAGTGTGACAACAAAAAAATGTCCTCAGACACTAACAAATGTCAGGGGGCAGGGGAGGGGGCGGGCAAAGAACCAATTATCTAGAAGGTGCTTTAAATGCCCATTATTCACATTGATATGAGATATGAAACTCATCTCTTCTAATCTAGAGTAGAAACTTGCACATCAGAAACACCTCCCTTTTTATTTGGTGTCTCCTTGTTTCCTGACACTGCAGGAGCACTTCACCAACCTTCCACAGAGAACCCCCCAAAGGAAGGAGGGCCCCTGTGCATGCCATGTCTTTGTAATACCGAGACATTTGTGTGAATACTGCATCCTGTTCCACAGTATTGCCACGTTTATTTTTGGCATAAACATAATGTTCTCTCCACACCCTTGAATACAGTAAAATGAAAGCATCCCAAACATTTACCTCCTTTATCCTGTGGTTTGATTCCCTCCCCACCCCAGGCCCCACAGGGTGGTTGCAGCACCCGTTGAGGAATAGGGCGCTGCAGTTTTATAGGCCAGTCGGGCTTTCCACTTCCCATAATCGTTTTTTTGTCAGGCCTGTCTCTGCTCATGATAAATATTCATGTAGGCAGCAAAATATACAAACTCAGCACTCTAGTTAGGTAGGAGGGCAAACGTTTGTCAAGTGATTTTTCTGTCTTTCAATTCATGATTAAAGTCCTTAATTGTTTTGGGAACTATGGTCATGGTTATCAAATAATTATGTTGGACACACACAAAAATTTGTGTTGTAGCAAAGTAATTAGGGGGCAGCCATAAAACTTGGCAGTCAATGCCAGTTCCTAACATTTCATTATTTTCAGTTTATTTATAAGGAAACTAGAACCAGCCTCCTGCTTGTGTTTTAATTACTTAGCACAGGCAGGATTGATTTCAGAAAACCTCCACACTAAAGAGTAATGAGCCCTTCCCAGGAGGAGACCAGGCTTCAAAGGTATGCGCTGCTTCCTGCCCCAGGGACGCCCCTGTGGGCCCTTCAATGTGACTGAGACAGCCACGGAGTGCACCCTCTCCTGAGAGAGCTCACTCCTGTGAAAGGTGACAAGAGCCCTCGATGATGGGGAAGCAGAAAGGACACTGCTCCCACCTTTCAGAACTGGCGACATGAGTGGAAGATATTTTAAGATTCTTTCAGAAGGGCTTTGTGCCTCTAATGAGAGCCAAGGACATACTTCTGCGCTGTCTCTCATCTTTAGGCAATTCCAACAGGCAGATCTGCTCTTCCACCAGCCCTTTACCAGTAAGGCATGGGACTGGCCTGGGTGGCGGTGCCCCAGGCCTAATTTCACTTTTCTCATTATCCTTAACAGTTTCTGTTTTCATTTGCTGCTTCATAGTCCTCCTTTTTATTGTCTCTGTGATTTTATGTTCTTGTTGTCAAGTGGCATAAAGGATTTCTTAGTTTTGGAGTTTCATGGAAACTTGCTGGGTGGAAGGAGACCAAGATTCAGATCTAGCAGTCATTTGGAAATCCTGAGTAATGTGGAGGAAAACTCAGGAGGCCTGCTGCCAGGTGGTAATTTGATTTTTAGAGGGACCGCGTTTGGGTGACTTAAAAGGTGAATGACACAGAGTAGGGATTAGCACCGCACAGCTTTTGCACGAACCACGAGCCAGGAGAGACCTGGGAACTTAAACTTGGCATCCACATGTGACTAACCAAAGTGATTCAGAGAAGACAAAGTTCATTTATTTATTTTACTTTCTTAAAAAACAGCAACAGCCAGACATACACTTGAACTTAAAGTACTTGCCCTCCATTAAGATATGAGTTTTTTAGGGGTATCTCTACCCTTCTCATATTATATTTTCCTCCCTGCACACTGCCTCTCCCATCTGACAATATTCAGAATGGGTCTAAGAGCTCCCCCACCAACATAGCAACATGGCCCAGAAAATAAAAATGACATGTTTTGAATTCAGAGGCTGGTTCCATTCCACCTCCAATCAGATCACATGTTTTCTTATCTAAATTTAGTTTATCTGATGACATTGATTGTAGGCCTGAATTGTTCAAATGATGAACTTATCTAATAGAGAAAGATTACATTAAAGAAATGTTTTAAATGGCAGAAGAAGTTCAAATTGGCAGTCTATATTAATTAGCATCCTTACACCTCATTCATTCATAACTTGGCCTTGCTTGGCTCGGCGCTGCTTCCAACGCTACCAATTAGTTGGAATTCTATAAATTCAAGAGGGTTTAGCCTGGCACGACTTTTCCAGATTGCCTGATATGTGTGTGTGTGCGTGTGCGAGCGTGTGTGCATGTGCATGTGAAAGCGGGGTAGCGTAGGGAGGGAGGGAAAAGCAATCCTTATTTTAATTACCAGGAATAAACAAAAGTAACTTGGGGAGAGGAAGCAAATTAGCTGTCGGTGCTTGTTTTTGATCCCATCGACTTAATGTCAGGGAAAACTCCATCAACAGGAGAGAAGAACTTCTTACCTTTTTTTTTGAGATGACTGAGGCAGAGATACAAGTATTAACTATCCGTCCTTTAAAGCTTTCTCTGCTAACAGTTGCTCTCCTTGACACCAATTTGGAATCTTTCCACACTTAACGGGGTTCCCGGCCCATTCTGCCCGCCTCACACATCAGTCCAATGGCACTTAACGTAATGATACCAGATAGCTCATTTTCCCCAGTAATCCCCGCTTTTCCCCTGGACAGGCTGGCCCCTTCATTCCTGGCCCTTCAGACTCCTCCCTGCTCCTTCCATTAGCTCTGCACTCTCCTCCACAGCTTGTCTTTGGTAAGTCAGTTCTCAGTCTGAAAGGGAAAATTAAAAACAAGCATGTCCCATTTACATATGGTTCTTTGGCAGGAGTTCCTGTCTTTGCTGAGGCCACCATTGACAGACTGATGCCACACCCAGGAGAGGCCAAAAAATGGTTCCCCTTTCAAGCCAAAGTGATACAGCTAACAATTATTCTAGAGAAGCTACGACTAAGGGTTGGCTTAGAAGATTTATACAGATTATCCAATGCCAGGCGATAAGCTATAAATAGAAATAAGAAGGAATGAGCTTAGTGAGATGAGAGTAGGGGTACAATTTCTGAGTATGGGCAGAATGATTTTTTTTTTCAGGTCTAGAGATGATTTTAATCAATGCACAGTGTTGTTTATTCTTAGTGCCCTGAGAGCAACTCGTTAAACCAGCCACAGGTTGGCCCAAAAGCCCTTAGACATGTTTACACAATGCTAACATAGAGCATCATCCAGGAATCTGAAGAAGGAATGAGCTTAGTGAGATGAGAGTAGGGGTACAATTTCTGAGTATGGGCAGAATGATTTTTTTTTCAGGTCTAGAGATGATTTTAATCAATGCACAGTGTTGTTTATTCTTAGTGCCCTGAGAGCAACTCGTTAAACCAGCCACAGGTTGGCCCAAAAGCCCTTAGACATGTTTACACAATGCTAACATAGAGCATCATCCAGGAATCTGAGAGTACCCACATCTTTTAGTAAATTGTAATTCAGTTCCCTTCTTCAATGTTGAGCTTGTGTTTAGTCAGTGTAATCTTTTAAGAACATGAATTGTGTAATGTCAACTCTCAAAATCATTTGGTTCTCATGGTAGTTAGAATGAAGCCCTAATTTATTCCATGGCTTTTAAGGCCCTCCAGGATCAGGCGCCATCTCTCCAACTTCACCTGGGTACCACATTCTCCCTGGCTTACTACTGTTCAGCCCAGACCGGCCTCCCTGGTGTTCTTGCACAGCCAAGCACACTCATTTCATTTGCTGTTCCACATGCCTGAAACTTGCTTCCCCAGGCACTTTTTCTGGTTTCTCACCCTTAATTTCTTAACTCAAGTGTCTTGCGAGAGGCCTTCCTTAATATAGGCCCTAGCAGGGCTCTTTACTGTGTGGTCATCTTCTCCACAGTATTTACCTCATCTCTAATTGTCTCGTTTATTACCTGGTGTGGCCTTTCCACACCAGAGGGTACGAGCAGGAGCTTGTCTTTCTTCTTTGTGACTCTGAGAAGTGAAGATTTATTGACTGAATGCAGGAGTTGATGAATAATGCTCAGCCACAGATCTGCAGGTGAAGAGCTGTGGAGGACTCCAGGGACCCAGGGCCAGAGTCCACTCGTTTTCCTCCTGTGACACAGCCTGAGACCAGTCAATCCTTGGGTTGACATGGGAAGACTCTGAGAAGTCTGGATTCTAGATGCCATAGGGGTTATATGTGAGTTCTCGTTAGACATTAGGCAAAGTTGTTGAACCTAAATTTAAAATGTTAGAAAACGCCCTTGTAAGTGATGAGAAGCTGAATTGGTGAGATCAAGCACAGAAAAGATGAAGGTGAGGGGGAAAGCCCACAGCACAAGCACAGCAATACAGTGGCTGCATTAGTGCTATTACTGTTTCCTCATCCCGATTAGTAGACTCAGAGACTCTTTAAAGTAACCCAATATTGAACATTAGCTAGAACATCGTCTCTAAGTGGGATGAGTAATGAAGGTGCTGTCTTTCTAGATTACTTATTTAATCGTATTTAACAAGATTTACATAGTGTTCACTGTGCTCCAGGTACTTCTCCAAATAGTTGACAGTGCCTTCGCAGGTTAAGGTCTCCGCGAGCAGTAGTTGGGACAGACCTCGGGGTATGTAGTAGGGGCTACCACCTTTGAAGAGAAGGAAGAGAAAGCAGAGAGAAGTCCAACCGATGCAGGCTCAACAAAGTCTCTGCCGACCTGGCAGGAAGCCTGAAGGGAGCGCTGCCCGTCACTGTGTTCTGCACCAGACCCGAATCGCCCGCCTTCACACACCCGCCTTGCTCAGTCACGAACCTGGGCTTCCCCAGGAAGGGCTTGGCCCCAGGCAGCAAGTTCTCCCTTGAAGGGGAGTCAGGGCAGGGCACCTCTCTGTCTACTCAAATATTAACTCATCCAACCCTCATGACAACCTTATGAGGCAGGTCCTTTTAAGTCCATTTTCCAGAGTGGGAAACTGGCATAGAGGAATTGGGTAATTTGCTAATACTAGGTCATAGCAGAGCTGAGATCTGACCCAGGCAGTGTGGCTCCAGGATGAGAGCTCTTCACCAGGCAGTTATGCTGTGTTGGCTATTACTTTCATAGAGAGGGTTGAGGATAGCCTGATAATAATAAAAAACAATATTGGCATTGCACTTTGACATTGTAAAGTGCTTTCACATGAGTGTTTTAGTTTTTTATTTAGTACATGCATGTGTGTGTGTGTGTGTGTGTGTGTGGTGTGTGCATGCCTCACTTTGTGTTGGTGCCTTTATTAAGAATAACATCAAAAGGTGATAAATTTGGGATTGTCTACTGCATTCAAATATTAGTCCTGCCTGTAAAAATTTAAGAATCAGGAGTAGATGCTAAGGGACAATGACTAGGCTTGAATTCCTGCACATGACGGAAGAAGGGCTCCCTCGGAGTTTAGGGCAAGGAGCTAGTAGGTGGAAGAAAGGCTATAAAATGTAGAACAAGGCCAACCAGTCCTGTGCTCTGCCTGTCACAGGAGTGAGATGTTAAATACAAGGGCCCAAGGGAAAAGCAGGTGGCACCATGGAAAGAAGGGAAAGGAGGGAGAAGAGGAAGCAGCAGTATGAGCAGGGTGGCCCTGGGCACTCTTCCGAGGGTCTCTAGATAGCACAACACTGAGGGCCAGAGGGCACAAGGGGAGGTAAAAGGTAGGGGCCGAGGCTTCTCCTCAGAGGGGGATGGGTGGATGGGTGGATTTGGACAGAAGTGGGGAGGAAGGAGGAAATCCAGTGAGAGCAGAGCATTTTTTCATCACTATTTCTGGAACTATACATTTAAAAAATCTTTAAAGATACCTTAAAAACCACTTCCTATATTATAGAATTAGACTTCTTATTTCTAAAGATCAGGCTTAGGTAAGGAGGAAATCCAAGGATGGCAAGTTTTATTTTGGATGATTCAGAATACACATTTCCTCCTATTTTGCAATGCTATTGTTGTCCAGAAGAGTTCATGCAATTGAAGTCATTATCTTTAAGAGCTTTAGCTCTAGAGGGATGAACTGGTTTTACATTCTTTTTCTGGAGTTTGGTGGAATCCCCTCTTTGAGTTCAATTGAGAAATTCTGTTTTAATCCCTCACTACTCTTATTTGTATATGAAAATATGGTCCAAAAGGCTGGTATAAAAATCTTGGTAGGAAGTGCTCTCTGCAAAAATAGTCAGCAGAGATAAAATTCAGCAACATGACATGTAAACTTCCCAGCAGAGCACATGTGTCCTGTGAACCAGAGGGATTAAAGGATTCTCCTTGGGATCTGAATAAAGGTCATTCTTGCTACTGAACTGATTATATCACCATCACTGACCCTTATGTTAACAGGTCCTTTCCCTTGTCACATATTCTATTACATTCTCTTATGGATATTTCAACACGATTTGCCCCTATTCATACCACATAAAACCATCTTAGAATCTTGCCCTATAAACCCACAGAATAACAATTCTCTAATTCACAAAGCAAAGCAAATATGAAGATGTTAAAATCTAATTTAAAATACAAGAGGACTCATGATGCCACATGTAGATCTTGGTTAGAGAACTACTCAAACTGATTTATTACGCTAAACCAAATGGGGAGAGTGAGAAGAGACATTCCTGTGTCGAACACAGAATGTTACTAATGCCATCCTTCTGAAAATGAGCATGCTTTCAGTGAAACGTAGATGTTTCCTGGAGTAAATGGTTTTTGTATATGGGGTGGGAGACCAACAAATTTTTTCTAAACTCTCGGTCTCAATTGAAGAATCTTTTCCTAAACATGACAGGCTTATGAAGGCAGAAGCAGCAGTGAGTGTGGAGGGCACTGCCTAGGGGTAGGGACTGGGGCAATGGTAGAAGGGAGGGGAATCCTTCAGGCACCCTATTGACCCTTTGCCAATTCTGACCTGTCTTTCTGTAGTCATTTTTTCAGCTGGTCATAGTACATGGGACCCAGTGAAAATAAGCCTTATTTCTGAAAGCAATAAAAAGGTGGGTTGTTTCAGGACTTTAAAGTGCCTATATTCAATCCTTAGACACTGCTTTTGGAATCCATCTCAGCTTCTAGACATTTATCTCTTCCAAGAGCTGGACTCAGCATTAAAAAGTGTATTATTCATAGAATGCTATGAGTAACAGAAATATCAGGACATATTCTTGTGAAAATCAAAGCATTTAAGTACTTAGAGGTGAAATTCCTGGATTATAAGATATGCACATCAAATAGTTTTATAGATACTGTTAAGTTTCTGTCCAGTGTGGCTCATTTTCCTATTCCCCCGTGTGATGCATCGCCACATAGCTGAACCAACCCTAAGACAAACTCATTTTCCCCTTCTAAATAACAAAGACAAAAAGGCAACACCCAAGTCACCAAAATTCAGTCTCTAAAAGATGTTTGGTCACAGATCTAAAATGAATTCGATGGGCACTTGATATGCACCCTGGTTCCTGTGCTTCTCCCCTGTGATGCGGGCCACACACATACTCTGCAGCCTGCTGGTGTCCTAGAATTAACTGTACACTTCTTCCATGAGACGACATTCAAGCCACACAAAGACAGCAAGGTCGGTGAGGGCTGGAAGGGAAAGCGAGCCTGGCTCATAAAACCAAGAGGCACTTACGATTTAACAAGATTAACAAGAGCTGTTGAAAAGAGCGGCCCAGCCTGAGTCACCAGGGAAGGATGCCAGCTCAGTTCTCTTGGCTTTGCTGTCACACCACACGAGCGGAAAGCTCTAGAAAGCCTTGCATGAAACTGCAATAAAGCTTTCTGGAAAATGATTGTATCTTTAATGATCATTTCTCTTACACCTTTGTGGGAAGAAATGAGTCATTCTTTTTGCTATTAATCCTCACCTAAGGATATTTTTCCATTGACTTTTAAAATATGTACAGATTTTTATTGATTTCAGAGAAGGGAGAGAGAGAGAGAGGGAGAGAGAGAGAGAGAGAGAGAAACATCAATGACGAGAGAGAATCATTAATCGACTGCCTCCTGCACGCCCCACACTGGGGGTTGAGCTGGCAACCCGGGCATATGCTCTGACCCAGAACTGAACCGTGACCTTCTGGTTCATAGGTTGATGCTCACCCACTGAGCCATGCCAGCTGGGCAAAATTGACTTTTTAAAAAAAATATGTTTTTATTGATTTTAGAGAAGAAGGGAGAGGAAGAGAGAGACAGAAACATCGATGAGAGAGACACATTGATAGGCTGCTTCCTGCACAACCCCACTGGGGAACCAGCCTGCCCTAACTGAGAATCAAACAGGTGACTGTTGGTTCCTGGGTTGACACCCCACTGCTGGATCACACCGGTTGGGCTCCATTGACTTTTAGAGAGTGGAAGGGAGGGGGAGAGACAGAGAGAGAAACATTGATGTGAGAGAGACACCCATTGATTGCCTCCTGTACACACCCTGACCAGGGCCGGGGATCAAGCCTGCAACGGAGGTATGTGCCCTTGACCGGAGTTGAACCCAGTACCCTTCAGTCTGAGAGACGTCACTCTATCCACTGAGCCAAACCGGCTATGTAGGGCAAGTCATTTTTTTTCACTGTTATTTGTTGTTAACATTTCTTTTGTCTGCCTTATTGGGAAGGTCAAGTCTGAAGCTGCACAAGTTCTTAAATCCAAGTTGTTAAATACATAGTAAACTCACACTGCACTCTTTTGGAAATAGTTCTACTAAAAAACTGTAGTGCATTTAGCAACAGCAAGCGGAGGAAGCCAGTCCTTCCCTCTTCAGGCTGTGTGTAAAGGCATGAATTAATGGAACTCTCTAAAATACTTGTCAGTCAAATGTCTATCAATGCTTTTATCCCTGGGCAAAAGCAATTCTTCCAGACCAGCTTTTATGACAACTTCAGTTTTCAGAACACATTATGATTTATATCTCATATGCTGAAAGTTGGCTTTACATGCTTAATAACTAGATCTTAAGAATATTGGGCAATCCCTGGGTAAGCAATTTGTTAAATGTTGTATATATAGAAGGAACTCCCAAAGTTATGCCTGATATATATGTACATTGCAGTTCAAGCAGGTACATAGAGCACCGACATTTGTTTAGCTGCCTGATTTTGGGGTTACATCCATATAGAAGCTATAGCTGCCAATGTAGGTAGGTTGGTGTTTCCATGATGTCTGACACTTCATGTATAAAATGAGAATTATATTGTCTCCAAGCTATAGGTAAGTATCTAAAGCAGCCGTAGGCAAACTACAGCTCGCAGGCCGGATCCAGCCCGTTTGAAATGAATAAAACTAAAAAAAAAAAGAGACCGTACCCTTTTATGTAATGATGTTTACTTTGAATTTATATTAGTTCACACAAACACTCCATCCATGCTTTTGTTCCGGCCCTCCGGTCCAGTTTAAGAACCCATTGTGGCCCTTGAGTCAAAAAGTTTGCCCACCCCTGATCTAAAGTAATACCATATAAAATGGTATATATATTATACTACATTACATATTATTATTATTTTAGTGAGGTGTCCTTTGACTCCATTAAAAATTAGTTGTATAGACAAAATAAATGAAAGATAAATAATTAACCATAATTCTATTATCTTAAAAGTCAGTTCTTTTAATTGTTCCATTTTAGCATCACTACAATTTCAAAAGCCTTTGAACTTAGCATTGTACTCTAACAATCTTCTCTCATTGTTACTTAATTTGCTTATTTATCTTTTTATTTACTCAACAATTTTCTAATCAGTGGACATTTAAGTTGTTCCGAATATGGTTTTTTGCTTATTTAAAATTATGATCTAATTAACTTAAACATTAATATTGTCCTTTAGTTTTTATAGATTGTTTCCTCTTGAATGATCAGCAGCAGAATTATTGAGTCAAAAGGTATGAATGATTTTAAAAATAAACTTGTTAACAAAGTACAAGTGTACCAGACTCTCTGTGTCCTCACATGAACTAATAATCTCATTATTTTTTATATTTTTGCCAGGGAACTGACTTACAGGAAAAAAGTTTATTGTTGCTTAATTTGCCTTCTTAAAAAATATATTTTTATTGATTTCAGAGAGGAAAAGAGCGGGAAAGAGAGATAGAAACATCAATGATGAGAGAGAATAATTATTGGCTGCCTCCTGCATATTCCCCACATTGGGAATCGAGCTCGCAACCTGGGCATGTGCCCTGATGGGGAATCAAACCATGACCTTCTGGTTCACAGGTCGATGCTCAACCACTGAGCCACACTGCCTGGGCTAATTTGTCTTTTGATCAAAAATAAAACTAAATATTGAATATTTTCCCATATGTTTGCTTTATTGATTGAATCTCTTCATGGGGGAAAAAAGTTCTGTTGATATTAGTACAAAGGTAAACTTGTTGATGACACAGTTATTCACTTTTAAAAATTAAAGGCTTATCTATGGCAAATGGTATGGTGGGTCCTCAAAAAGTTAGAAATGTAACTATCTTATGACCCAGTAATTCCACTTCTGGGTATTTATCTAAAGAAAAAAAAAAGGAATTCAAAAGAATATGTGCACTCCTATGTTCATTACAAGACAGCACACATTGGTACTTACAGAATAGTCACGGCGATGTAGAGTATAGCATAGGCAATATAGTCAACAATATTGTGATAACTATGTGTGGCGCCAGGTGGGTACTAGAAATATCAGGAGGAAACACTTTGTAAAGTATATGGTTATCTAACCACTATGCTGTACACCTGAAACCAGTACAAAGTATGTAATACTAAAAGTAAACTGCAATTGAAAAATATAAAAATAAATAGATTAAAAAATGTTAAAGCATATGGAAGTTGCCCTTGGAATGTTGAAAGAAAATGAAGAAATGGGTAGGATATTCTGTCAGTCAAGGTCTTAGTCTTGACCATGGTGAGGAGCATTTACTAAAGGGAATATTTACAAAGGCATGGCAATGTTAAGAGAAGCTAACAAGGGCTGGCACAGTACCCAGGGCTAGCAATAATGGTACCGTTTCTAGACCTGAAGTGTTACAGAGAGGGCCCAGGCAATAAAACCCAGAGCAATAGATACACGAAAGGGCTCCCTCAGAGGAGCTTCAGCCTTGGAAAGAGAGACATAGTCAACCTGTAGTTACCTGGGAGGGAGGGAACAGGCTATGAATATCCTGACTTTGATGATTTCTCTGATTTCCTGGGGTGCCTCCCGTTGGCCGAGCCCAACTGTCGGAGGGCAATCAGTGTAATCCATAAAGGCCAGTCTCCTGAAGCCCCGAGCAGGATAAACAGAAAGGTGAATGTATTTGAAAGAACAAATGGAAAATATTCGCACCGATATTCTGGCATCATGATATTTTAGAGTGGCTGGGTAATCTGAGCCTTCACAAATTAATTCACCTTTTGAGTATTATTAGAAAGCTATTCAATTTACATAATTTAGTCTTCAACTAGAAACAAAATAGAATGTTAATGTCATTACTTGATCTTTTTTAAAGGAATCTAGATAGTAGAATTTATTCTTTGCTTGAAGGAAATTTTATTGTGTCACAATTTCAAAAGCAAGTGAGAAAGAAGCATTACAAATCTCAGAAGTCAGTAAGAAGTCAAAGGGATACACAAAGGGGAAATAGTCCAGGAATGTTAAGAAAGACAGGGATTGCCGAAACCGGTTTGGCTCAGTGGATAGAGCGTCGGCCTGAGATACACAAAGGGGAAGTAGTCCAGGAATGTTAAGAATGACAGGGATTATAGTAAGTTTACCCCAGACTTTCTGATTCAGTGGGTTGGGTGGCTCTTGGAAATCTGTCCTTGTAACAAGGACTCCAAATCATTCCTATGGAGCCAGCCGACTGTCATTTGGAGCAATTGGACAACATGGGCTTTTAGAAAGAAGCTTCACAATCTACAGTCTCAAAGACACTAATGAACTCCACCCAAATGGAAATACCAACTTGAAGATGATAAAACAACTCATTGGGTCCCTTGCTTTGAGAGCCAGTGTTTGGAGCCGCAACTGTATGTGACAGCTAATAGCAATGATGATCCTAACACTGGGCACCTCCTACAGGCCACGCCCTGTGACAAGTATTTAACCTGCGTTATCTCACTGAAGCCTCCCAACAACCTCATGAGGTACTGTGAGTACCCACATTTTACAGAAGAGAACATTTAGGCTCATAAAGATTAAACATATGAACCTCGGGCTCAGAGGTTCCTAGTCTGTCTGCCTTCTTATCTCTATATTTCAGAGTTTTGTTCTATCTGTTTTATTCAGAATTTTTAGTAGTATCTAGTGGGAGAGATAGAAACACGTATGTCTACTTCATCTTCTTGGAGGCAGAAGTACTTT